TCTTTCCATTTGCTGCCTCTTGTGCAGCTTTGACACCACAGCTCCAACAAACACAGCCCAGTTAAAAGAGGATAAAAGAGCACCTAAATACCAAGCTAGAGCTTAAACTTACCGACGTAAAATCAAATGCTCTTGTTTCCTATTTCTTCAAAATATGATCCATAAGGGAGGTAGAAGCTTGATTTGGAAAGTATGATTGAAAAATATCAGGAAGGGGTTGTTATGATATTGATATATGCAGACATGCTAATAAATGCGCTAGAAAAATTCATACTGCAACTCCCTGCAAGAACAGGTCTTCACTCAATTGTCTACTGCCTCAATACGCCATCTCTGTTGCAATTCACAATTGTCTACAACTTCATTAATGCAGCTAGTACAAGCCGCCATTTCACCAATGGTTTCACACTAAAGCCGGTTCCTTGTTATATATATATATATATATACACACACACATATGCCTTTATAGAGATGTGATACAAGTTGAAGAAATGAATCAACTTTTTTTCATTCTTCTTTAAAATTAACAGGGGTGATGAATATCCTACATCAATTCGACTAACATTACTGATACCAGGATTTTGTGTGTTCAAGTTTGCAAAGTGTTGGAGGTTGGACATTGTAATGTTGCCAGCAACTGCTGCTGAGCCACGAAATTTCCCGTGGCAGCATAATTTATAGGCTGAGGAGAAAAGGCTTGGTTCAACATTAAACCAGTCGGAATAGTATACGGCATATCACCAGAAGGACACATTGGATTTGCATTCATTCCAGCAGTTTGGGAAACAGGCATTCCACTTAAAGCATCATTAGAGGCCTAATGACTAGCATGAACATTGATATCTGAAAATATATTTTCTGACAGTGTCCCAGAAGAGGAACCTTTTTAAACAAAACCCCAATTTCCAAAAAATCTCATTTACCAGCAATTTAATCCAAATTTAACAAAAAAAAAAAAAAAAAAAAGTCATTTCCTGTCCAATACCAGTAAAACTGATCTGGGTTTTTAGATCGGAATGCATCGAAAAACTTCAAGCCCCTGAACTAAAGGATCTGGGATGCGATGCAGCGTAATTTGTTTGAATTATTGATTGAATCAGGGCCGTTCGAGAAGAGATGAAAGTTTCAAATTTCCGTTGATTGGATTCAAGGAGATGGGAAAATGACGGAAATGAATTTGAAGGGGTTTATGATAAGGTAGAATCAAGGCTTGGGGAGAGAGCGCGAAGACTCTGAAACGTTGAAGAAAGCGAGGAAAGAAGGTCGGTTTGGAGGGATGGAGGGACAGGTCATCGTTTAAAAGTGCAGGTGAGTCACCGACGTGTATGGTGGCGCTGTTTTCGGTAGCACTGGGCAAACATAGTTATTTTCTTCTTCCTTTTTTTTTTTTTTTTTTTTTTTTTCTCAAATGTGCTGTGCATGCAACTGTTTTTATTTTGCGAGGGTAATTTAGATGGTAAAATGTACAATAATTTTTTAAAATCTTTTTTCTAACTTCACCCATATTTTTCACACCTTTAAATAAAGTCTTTTTTTCCAACAAAATAAAAAAGATTTTTTTTATTAAATTATGTAATAAAAGATAATTCTTAAGATATATATATAGATTTGAATTATTAACTATTAAAATATTATTAGAGAATAATAATAGAAAATTGTTTTTATTACACCATAATAATAAGAGAATGAAAAAAAAAAATCGAAACATCTAGCAATCAAAAAGTTAAAATTAATAATAAAATAAAATAACCTTAATGAAACATATAAATAAAAATTATAATATTAAACTTATTTAATTAATTTCTTAAATAGTCTTACTTATAAAATCATATAACATTTTAATTTTTACTTCCCTCGTAGAAATATCTAACATGGACCTTTCAACCGTGTTGGCCTCGTTACTCAACACGATGAGAGGCATCAATTAATTCTGCATATTGCTCTCCTAATCGTCTAATCCAGGTCTTCGAATGGCACTACAAAAATTCACTGTAACACCGACGAGAGCCCATGTCGGAAAAAGAGGGAATCTGGTCGGTGAAAGAAAATGCCCACTTGAATCACATCAATAATAGGTTTCTCGGTGAAGCCGGGCTCGGTGATTCAATCACCGACGTAGATGAAAATCATGTCGGTAAACGCATCCATAATTACCGACAAAGAACATCTTGCAAATAAGGAGCCGAAATAGTCCACCAGAAAACATCTCTGGTTTCCACGTCGGTAAATTACCGACAAGCATAACGTCTGAACATATACAAGAGCCTCGAGCCTAGCGCTAATCACCGACGAATATCACGTCTGACAATGCAACAAAAATACTTCGCAATTTGGGCCATGTTAGTAAATCACCGACAAAAATCACGTCTGAACTACACAAAGATCTTCACTGCAGGTTCAAAATCATCTCCAAAATTTTAGGCGCCAATTTTTTCAGGCGCCATTTTTTATTTTTGTTTTCCTAGTTACC